GCCTCGGAAACCAAGGAGGGGTCGCTGAGTCGGGGCCGACTCGATGGCAAATAACAACAACATAACAACATGTGTGTGTGTGTGTGTGTGTGTGTATATATATATTTAAGTCTGGTTCATGTCTAGCTGATGATGTTGTTTGCCCCACAGAGGAGGAAATAAAAGAGTTTGTCACCTGAACCCTGGACACCGGGCCCAGCTGGAGGAGAGAGCCTTGGACAGAGGAATGCCATTTTCTGTTAGCATGCGGCATGCCTTTGTGCCTTTCCCAGGTAAGGTGGCTGACAGTTTTTGAGCCCTTAATTGCAGTATGAATGGTTTTCAAGGAACTGATAAGGCCTGAATTATGAGTAAGACCCAGGAGCACACATTGGTTCCTCTGTGTTGCCAAGTTTCTAGAAGCCAGGCAACACTGTCTTCATCTGCTTGGTGTGGAACTGCTGTGGCGTGTGCTCAGCATCAGCAGTCTGGTGAAATCAGGGTTCCAAGGCTAAAGTAAACCTTTTCCCAAAATCCAGTAACACGTTCTCCGTCCTCATCTTCTGACTGTTCTACAACATCTGCCTCTCCTTCCTCAATTCTCTCTAACCTTGGTCTCTAAAGGCACAGTATTAGTTAGCTTGCTTTTCTTATCTTTGTCTCTTTTTCTGACTCTTCTTTGATCTCTTCTGTTTCTCCTCCCTTTCTCCCCACTGCAGCTTCCTATTGCATAGGGGTGACCGCAAAATTACCTTCATTCTGCCTAATAGCACCTCAGTATTGTCATGAACCTTTTTGTCATTAACATATTTTGACGTGGTCTAATTTTCAAATCATCTCTACTATACATATTTATTTGCTCTTTAATCTTTTGCCAGCTGGTGGGTCCAGGTGAGTGTAATAACCATTGGAATTGATTTAAATTCTGTGAGAGACTTACATTCCAAGGGTGAATTCAGTTGTGTGATATCAGAACCTGTTAGACAATTTCCAGTTTTGTTTTTTAAGAATGAGCCATCAACAAACAAAATTCAGTCAGTTATCCAAGGAGTCTCTAGAAGGCCTGTGCAGTGTATGGATAACATCCTAAGAAAGGTTATGCAATCCTAGGTTTCTCCTTTTATGTATTAAGGAAGGAACATAGCTGAATTTAAAGCAGTGCTGTCCAATAGAAATATAGTGCAAGGTACATTTATAATTTAAAATTTGCTAGTAGTCACATTGTAAAGATTTTCCCAGTTTGACTATTTGAAAAGTCTTATTAGATTTCACAGAACATAGTCATATAAGGCCTTTGTCTACAGAGAAAGAATATAGCATGGCAAAAGTGCAGGCAAGCATTTTGGGTCTATGCACTCACAGGGATCTTGATTCACACGGGGGGACCACACTTTCTCTCTGGTTTGAAAGCCATCAAAGCTTAAGGAGAATGCAAAGGAGACCTTCCCAGCTGGGCTGTTAATCTTCTCTGGCCATACAATCAAGCCAGGCTGACTTAGTGGGTTAGGCCAGTTGCAGACCATTAGTAAAGAAGCTGAACCTGGGGATCAGGGGGGCAGTTTCAGATCTTAGACAACTATCATAAATCCCACAGCCCTGATTTTGGCCAAGAGTCAAAAACTCGGCATCCAGATGTCCTTAAGGAAGGAGAGAAGAGTTTTTCCAGTCTAGTGGCTAGTCACTGCTATCTTCCACACACATTAAAATAGGAGAAAAAGTTTAAATGAATTATTATACTATTTTTTATTTAACCCAATCTGTAAAATATTATCAAATGTATAATCAATATAAAAATGGTTAATGAGATATTTTACATTTTTTCATACTTTGTCTTCTAAATCTGGTGCCTATTTTACTGTACAGTTTCATTTTTATGCTAAATTTTCATCAGGAATACTTGATATGTATTTAGGTTCCATAAAATTTACAGTCCTAAAAGTAGATTGACATGCCCAAGTTGTCTGAAACATTAAAATTTTCCATTAACTGAATT